AAACTACACGTTATTATGGCCAACTATAGTCCTTGAGTTACCTCTGAAATGAAACTACACGTTATTATGGTCAACTATAGTCCTTGAGTTACCTCTGAAATGAAACTACACGTTATTATGGCCAACTTTATTCTGTTTTAGTTTAGAACAGGAACTCTATGTACACGATTATGCATCAATGTTTAGTAAACGTAAAGAAAATTCGCGTGGTTAAAAAAGTGAAAAAATGTGGAATTTCATAATATTTTATCAGTTAAAATATCTTGATTTTACTTAAACATTTTTCAGGCTATAGCTGTACATTAGATGTAAATCAGGGATGTGAAAACCGGAAGTTTCCTAAAGAATATTTTTCAACTGCACAATTATATTTTAACTACACAATTGTATTTTAACTACACAATTATATTTTAACTAACAATTATATTTTAACTATACAATTATATTTTAATGACACAATTATATTTTAACTACACAGTTATGTCTTAACTACACAATTATATTTTAACTAAACAATCGTATTTTAACTACATAATTATATTTTAACTACACAATTATATTTTAATTAAACAATTATATTTTAACTACACAATTATATTTTAACTATCACAATTATATTTTAACTACACAATTATATTTGAACTATACAACTATATTTAATTATTTAATACATGACACTTTACTGCACCTCATATATATAGGCCTAGTAACAAATGATCCAAGACATAAAGAATGTTCTAGTTAATATATTTATCAGCTCTGGAATGGAGTTTTATAATCTCAAATATGTTTTTTAATATGAACTTACTTATATAGGCCAATTTTCAACTGCACAAATATTTTTACAGGTGCACAATCTGCACACTAAGAAAACTCCTGATGAAGGGGAATAAAAACAGCATATAAACAACTGTTTATTTGTTTGTTGGGTTTCACCCCAAGCTTCACAAGAGCTACCTTTGCTAATTTTGAACCCAGAAAGTAGTCTACAGCACCCACCGCCAACCCTAGTCTAAGAGTGGGATTTGTCGTAGCTGTGACTCCAAAATGTGGGGTGCAATTTGACAGCAATGGGGCGCGAACAATAAACCCTTGGAACCATAGTCTCACACCTTAACTTCTAGTCCACACCCAGCCAGCCTATGAAGAATTAACCTTTTTTAGAAATGTCAAGGGTTAGTTTCGAACCCCCAGTAACACAGTATGTCTGCCGACTTATACGGCTAGAAACTGGGTTTCGATACCCGTGGTGGGCAGAGCACAGAGAGCCTTTTGTATAACTTTGTGCTTTTCGATTATTTTACTTTATTATTATTATTATTTTTTTTGTATAAAATGTTTATGGTTTCAAGAGAATTAAATCCTTAGACAGAATCACAATATTAAACAATAATTATGTGATAAATAATTGTATTTATTTTTAAGAGGATATTCGAAAAAGACTCATAACTAATGGATAAATATAAAGTTAATATTTTTAAGATCAGACATATATGTACCGTTTAGCTATTTAACTTGAAAATTTTATTTCGTTGCATTAATAATACTCCATAGTGTTTTTTTTTCTTTTTTAGGACGCGTGACTTTTATTTACCCTAGGATGAGCCTGGTGGTT